AAAAAATTGCCATATATGTAAAGTATGATAGTTTACATATGTATTTAGAGAAGCTTACGATCATACATACATAGATATTAAAAATTTTGGACTGATAAAAAATTATCGAACAAATAAAAAATATTAAGGTTATATGTACATAAATGTATACTTACAATCTTAAGTGTGAAACCACACCGAAGACGACGAATCGTTTCTTTGTCGGCCGACAAGAAAACAGTCGTGTACATGCGTGGATAAACTATCACATGTCCGTGTTTGGTCTCTAATATAATCGGTAAGGGAAGGGATAAAGGGGATATTTCGAAAAATTTTGTCGCCAAAATATGACCAGCCTTTAGATTCTGCATACCTTTGCGATTGAAGTTTTTAATTCAGAACCGTCTAACCAATTGCCTTGTATCTGGCCACAAGTCCTGCCGAATTTACGAGTCGAGATCTCAGATATGGAGCCGGAATTATTACCCTTTCAATCGGAACCAAAACAATTTCCATCTCAGCACAGTGAAACTTGCTGCATTCGCTTTTGCATTTACCATTCAAGCTGCGCACAGCTTAAACACAATTCGTTTATTTCGTTCGTATTTCTTCGATTATAATATGTATCTTAATAAAAAAAAAATCTAAAGAAATCTTACATAATATTTTAAAATATTCATAAAAAAAAACAATGCAATTTTTCGCAATCAGAAACAATTTTTTAAAACTCGAAATTAAAATTAACATAGCATTTATACATACATATGTATGCATATGTAAAGATATATATGTATATTTTTATAATATGTAAAATTTATATAAATTACTTCATATGTAGCTAAATAAGTAATTTCTTTCTCCATTTCATAATGTATTTCTTGTTGGAAAAGGATGTATATGCGACATCGCCAATCGGCCACATCCCTAAGTAGTATTTTTATACTTATATATGCATGCGTTTATGCTGCTAATGTACCTTCCCCTTTCATGCAAATCTCAAATGCAAATTCATCAACAAAACCCTCATTTGTTGCGCAATAACATAGCGCGGCATGTTACAATACATGTTCCCGAAGTCTTAAATTCAAACTGCAAAATGAAAGATATCAGCAAGAGCTACAGAGAAATAAGTACAAGTAACATCAAATCTCACATTTTTCAACAGTTGCATTGGCTGCTTTCTCTTCCGGTCACTTTTCCGCGCGGAATAGCTTTGTCAGTCCCGCATTCTGTGTAATGTCCACAATATCAGAGTTGGGTTTGGGCGCGCGCGCCTGCATTGGCGGTAAATTAAGAATTTCGATTTGGCGGCAGAACATCTGATTCACACTCCGTCCCACCAGACGTGCAGTCATCTTCTTGAATAGATCCTTCTTCGCTTTGTCTACCTTGTTACCTTTCAGTGGCGCCACATTCACTTTCTCATCGAATTTCTGAATGTCTGCCGCATTGACGTTTGGTATAGTTCGTAATACATCGCTGAGCACAGGGAATTTGGGACGTAGCAACTCATAGAATTGCACACCGAGTGTTATGAGGCCCGCTTGATTGGCTTCATGCATGCCGTGCACTTGAAGTCCCTGCAAAACGGCGTGGAATGCGGTTGTGGCTTTATTTTGGTCCATCAATTGTGCTTCGGTGGTGGCGAGAAAGCGCATCACAGGCGCCACTACATTGACGGCCTTCATGCTGCAGGTGCTATCTTGCCAAGAGAGTGCAGCCATTAGCGTCATTAGTATGTAGTTGCTGGTTGCGCCATTGCGCAGCAATTTCGCACCCAAATCGCTGATGATGTCTGACAGCAAAGCGGATTGAGCCGCCCGCGAATGCGTTGTGCCGTCCATGGAATGCTCCTCCGGCTCCATGGCCACATCTGTGACGTTTGCCGGCGCATGCACGTTGTCAGGACCTGCTCCAACTAATGCAATTTTCAGCACATCCAGATATTCGCGCGTCAAAGAACGATTCAGCATATCCTCCAGCACTTCTTGTGTGCCATTCGACTCCTCATTCAACTGGCCCGATTCGTACAAAGACGATATGTAAGTCCAACGTTGCACCAAGTGATAGCACATGAATGGGGTTAAATGTGCGAATATCGGGACCAGCACCGAATCATAGAAGGTGGGTGGGCAAGAATACACAAATGGTTTGAAGAAGACACGTACAATGGGGCGCAGTCGATAGTCGGGCACTTCTTCTAATGAAGCGAAAACGCTATTGATTAGCGCATCAGCAATTCCCTGCAACTGGTAGAGGTCGCGTCCTAGAGAAGGCCCCGCCGAGCCCATCATGTGATAGCAGCTGTCGTACAACAAAGACATGAATTGCTGTAAGCGGTCTACAGTGGTGGTCACCTTTTTGACGGTCGGATCTAGCGGGTCGGCGGGTGGTGTGCATACGCCTAGCAAGGCTTTCTTTTCATGCTCCAACATGGTGTAAACATGGCGAAAGTCTTCCGAGAGCAAAGCCATTGCCTGTGGTCGGTAGAGCTCGTTGAGCACGCGCATCAAAGCAAGAATATGTGGCAGTAGAGGAATGACGTGTGGTGTGGCTGGATTGCGGCAAATGGGATTGCCGAGCTCGGTGAAGCCGACAACAAATCCACCGCGGGATGCCCGATCCGGATCGTCAGGCCAAGTACAGCGCTTAATAACGGCTAGCACCACATTTAGCGCGTCCAACATATGGCCCCGATTCGCGCTGAGTGTATCTGACTGAATCGGTGTAACAGCCGGCTTGTCGAGACCCACAAACTGTATAAAAGTAAATGCCGATTTGAATACCTCTGCGAAGGTCGGCCAATGCGGTAGTGTATCCTTCATGATATTTGCTACGAATGCAGTCTGCCGTTCGTAATCGCAGAAGTGGTTGGATATCAATAGTAGAGCCTCCTGTAATGTAGTTCGTTCGATTTTGTTCAGGGCATGCCGCGGATCATCCAGCAGGGCTTTCACGTGAGTGTCGATTTGATCGAATACTGGGAGCAGCAATAAAGGATATTTGTGGCCCAGCTTCACCATTAACGAGGCCGCATGGCGGCGCAAATTTTTGGCGGCTTGTGCCCTAGTCGTCATTATATTCGGCTCGGTAGGATCTCGGAAGACCAGAGCCTGGAAAATACGCTCCAATACCCTTGGAAGCAAGGATACGCCACTCATGGCTACGCAATTGTTTGGTGTAATCTGACACGACGACATACTGAGGAACACAAAAAGTGCCGAGATGCACGATAGCAATATAGAAAGTATTAGCGGATTACTGGTTTCCACCTTCAGACACTCTTCCAGCAAACGCAATCCCGACTGCACCGCCGGCCGATCTGAAACCAACAAAATTCGACTAAGAACGCCGTCAATGACACAAACCAAAGCCTCCCACTCCAAATAAACGGGATCTTGAACAGAACAATTAATATTATCGCGTTCAGTATGTGCCTTTGCTAGACGAGCATTGAGCCATTGTTCGCAATAGCTGAATGTAACGATAGGCTGAATGAGCGTCGACTGGCGAAATAGCTCAAGAAAATCAGTGCGACAACGGTAATAGAAAACAGCAAACTCTTCTTCGCTATCGTATTCTAAGCAGATGTACGCCGCGGTAGAAACAGCAGTGGGCAAAGTGCGCATATTAGGATACAGGGTTTTAATGATGCGCGGAGCGATAACGTCAATAAATTTTGGAATGTACGGGGTCATTATTGGATCTTTGGAAATGCCATCGTGCTTCAAGAGCACATTCCAGATAAGCGTTGCACCATGCGCTACCGTCAATGATGGGTGCCGTGCGAGCAAAAGCAAACATTCAAGAAATATTTCGAAGTGGGGTGGGCGTTGTATGCTACCATCCTCTTTGCCCCAGAGTATTACTATTTGCTGAGCCAGACCGCTTAGCATATTGAGAAGTTTCTTGAGAAAATTGTGGTTTTGCTCCAAAGCACCAGCGGTGGCTATATCTGGCAGTATTTGACTAGCCGTGAATATATAACGCATCGGTTCTTCCCCGAACAACATCAGCAGTGGNTATATTTCGAAGTGGGGTGGGCGTTGTATGCTACCATCCTCTTTGCCCCAGAGTATTACGATTTGCTGAGCCAGACCGCTTAGCATATTGAGAAGTTTCTTGAGAAAATTGTGGTTTTGCTCCAAAGCACCAGGGGTGGCTATGTCTGGCAGTATTTGACTGGCCGTGAATATATAACGCATCGGTTCTTCCCCGAACAACATCAGCAGTGGCTTACGCTCTTTTACTTGACCCTTACGATTGGTTATCTGCGAGAGACACTCGGCTGCGTTGCATTGGAATGCTTTATCGTTCAATAAAATGCAAAGTATTTGTAGCAATTTGCAATTATTAGATGTTATGTGGTTCATAGAAACCCATTCAACGAAACCAGTTAGTGTTAACAGCACAACTTCAACTACTCGTCCGTGTGCATTTGCTTTTTGAAAGTTGCCGTGCGCAGTGGCTTCACGAAAAGACGTAACATGCAGTTCGATCAGACGTTGGAAAAACTCAAAAATATCGTTCATATTGTTGGTAAGTGCCTGATACATATCTTTGCGTCGCTGGTTCGATTCGATGGTCTGTAACAAGGCGACATCCTCGACGAGTCGCAAGAAAATCAGCAGCACCAGCTCAGTTTGCGGTTCGCCTTTATTGCAGGCATCGGATAGCTCAGCTAATAGGGTCGTCCATTGCTGCGGCCATTCGCGTTTTATCATTTCTACAATTATGCGAGACAGTGCATCCTTCAAATGAGCCAAGCTCGCATCTTCTGCTGGACCGACACCGAAATGTAAAAGTTTCATGGCATTTTCTTTTATAAAAAGTTTCTCTTCGTGTGAAATGCTATTCCACTTAAATTTTATTGTGTATTCCATTAGTTGTAAGCCAAAATGTTTTACGTTTTGGCCGAATTGTTGGCCACTGGCTAGGTAAAGGCCAACTTGCGCACATAACGGCGACTCCTCTTTAAAGCGTTCACAAGCCATGTAGGCTTCCATGCGCGCTTGTTGAGCCGTATCTGGACGCATAATCAGTTCAATTGCCTGGGCAAGCTCTTCACCAAGTGCAGCCACATTTCCTCGTTGTGTCATCTTAATGTCGGTGTTCTGCGACTATCAATTAACACTTGGCAGTCGTAGAACGACCTAAGAGTTTATCAAATACTAGATAATCATCATATACAATTGGATTGCTGAATTTCATAAATACTCACCGATATTCCACGTATTTTATGTGACCACACCACACACACAAATCTTGCAAAATTTACTTTTCCTTTTAACTGTATAGAATTGCCTGGTGTGTGCAGTTTCCAATGTTAGCGTTTCCTATCCTCGTTCTACACCACCCTCCCAGAGAATCTAATTTCTTTGCTTTTCGTTTTCTCTGCAGCAAGCGTGTGTCTGATATGATTCCTTCACCGGTGCAGCTTTTTTCTTGTAACCTTTATTTATTTTCAACGGGCGATTTAGTATTTTGTCTTTTTTCATGCAAAAATTCTCTTTAGTAAATTTTTCATAAAACAGACTTCAAAAAAATGTGGTAAAGTTAATTTGTTGGAATTTTACATAGCACAGCACAGCAAGCCCGTATCACCTTGTTAAATACAGGGTTTGAAATGTCGATAAAAGACTACTCCTATTTGATGCATATACTACTCGTATTTTCGTAAGACACCAAAACATTTTTAAAGGGAATATGAAAATAAATAAATAATTTATATTCAAGAAAAAATTACATTTGATTATGAGTTTTAACTACATCTCCATAAATAATCGAAAACTTTTACAAAACTTACCACTTGTTCCTCCTTTGCACTCTACGCAACGCTGTATTCAAAAAAGGTCTTTCCTCATCAAATCATTTTTGCTACCACTGAACATACTCAAGGTGAAATAGGAGTAGAAAAACATCATCTGCATATGAAGTACGCGCGGAATGAGAACCTTTTTAATAACAAATTTCTATTGAAATTGAATTAGTTTGCGAAAAATTGCGTGATTTTTAATTGAGTGTAACTAAAATTCGAAGTTAGTTATGGAGTGGTACGAGATTGCAGTAAACGGTGAGCGCACGGTGAAATTTCTACCGAGAGCTCATGAACCGTGCATCCCTAAACACCGGGATCAAAAAAATTTGCAACAAAACGATCTTGCAGCCGAATCGGCTGATGAAGATTTTGCTGGTAAATAGGTTTATACAACCCATTTGTAACGTTAAGTTACACTTATGCCATGCCACATTTCAGGCTCCCTACAAATAGGCGGTATCATAAAACGAGGTGCATGGGGCTGGCTGACTAGCGGAAATGTGTTGGAAATCACTGCGCTACGTAATGGACAAACTCTTGCCTCCTATGAATTCACGGAAGCGCGTGGCTATGACAACTGTTGCATACGATTTGTAGAGGAGTTATTTCCGAACAACAACGAAACTGTGCTTTTAGCTATATGTATAGAGTGTTTTCGTGCGGCAGGAGGTGGTTGCAGTTTTGTAGCAATCTATTCTGTAGAACATGGCCAAGTTTTGAGTTGTATGGAACTGTCTCTTCATATTACTGCAGCAGCGTTTGTAAATAGAAATTGTTGCCGGCGCTCATTGTTGCAGAATTTTGATGGCTGCCTAGCTGTGGGCAGCGAAGAAGGTGTTATTTTACTATTGGACTTAAATATAAACAAAATATTAGCTACATACGACGAGCGTCAGATGAACACATCATCTAGGCAATTTACTGATATGATAACGGTATGTAAAATTGCTGACTACAATCTGCCCCTTGCCGAGATACATCGGACATTTCGACAAACACGCCACGAAGGTGTTCACTTCGGATTGCAATTAGAGGGTGAGTATTTATTCAATATAGAAGTATTTTGGGGGAATTGTCTGTGAGTCGTCTTCCAAATTTTCATATTCTGATCGTTGGCGGAAATGTGAGGAGGCCATTGCCACCTATGTTCCTCTGCTGGTGGGAATTGCGACGATTACCGATTCGCGATGCAGATAGGTAATATTTGCGAGATATACCTCACGATTCACGGATTTCAGATAATTTATGGCCTTATAACCATATACTAAAATTCGCATTACGTACGGCAACTGGCTTCTGACTGTCGTCTACTGAGTCCAGTAGCGTAAATTTTTGTTTTCTCCTTATTATTTTTTTTTCATGTAGGTAAAATATGAACCAAATCAGACTATAAATACGGGTTTTCCAAATACCTCGACTCCTCTGCCCCCGAACGGATTCCTTCTTCTTTCATATTGCATTGTCATTGGTTTCTGAGCGAAGTTTGAAATTTCAAGTCTCTAGCTCATCGCGGAGATGATTAAAAATTGATTGAAAGTTTTGACTCAAACAAACATACTTACGTACATACACACAAAACAAGTTAAGCAAAAGCTTGTAAAAAGTAAATTCAGATGAGATTAATCGCTATAGATAATCCAAAGTACGATACTGGTAGACATGGCTATTAGACCAACAACTGGATGCTAGAACCGTTGCAGGTGACAAAGTTGGAGATGTTTTGGAAGTTTTCCTCCTGCACCGATGCGATAAAAATATTGTGCCGACTATAACCGTGTGTCGGTTTGGGCCGAGAACAAAAAACTTCTCCTTTGCAGATTTGCGCCAGTTGTTCATCCCAAGTTCGGGCAGGTCCTTCTGCACTTGGTCCTTCCATTGTGTTCGTCGGCGCCCTCTCTTTCGTTGTCCACTCATGGGTGTGGAGTCGAAGGATCTTTTCTTCGAAGCGTCGTCATCCATGCGTACAACATGTCCAAACCAGAGCAATCGTTGTATTTTTATGCGCTTAACTAAATATGTCCATGTCCACCGCCCACGCGAACGATGCCATAGATTTTGCGCAGAATAGTTCTCTCGAAAGCCCCCAAAGCCTTCTCATCTTTGTTAGATATGGTACATATTTCTGCGCCATATAAAAGGGCAAAATGGGAGATTTGTAGAGCGTGGTTTTTGTTCGTCGAGAGAGGGCTCTGCTTTTCAATTGCCTACCGAGCGCAAAGTAGCACCTGTTGACAAGAGTTATTCTTCGATTTATCTCCAGTCTGACATTATTCGTGGTGTTTATGCTGGATCCAAAGTAAACAAAGTCCTTCACTACTTCAAAGAACCACAATAGTAGAAGTATGATTTATTAGTAACATTCAGATACTCTGTTTACATTTACAATAGACCAACTTCGCTCTGGCTTAAACTCATATCTGAGCAGATTAGACGCAGATGTGCCAAATGAGTGTCCGGCGAGCGGAGAGACACCCCACGACTCGGAACATCTCTTCATATGCCCGGAAAACTAGACAACGCAAACGCCTTTGTCCCTGTGGACCGACCCCATTGAGGCTGCACTTAGGGCTTCCGTTCTTGGAGCTTGACGACAACGACTGAGATATTAGCCGCTACAACAACGACAACAAGTTCAAAGTTATGACTGCCAACAGTTACTTGTGTCCCAATACGCGAAGACTTTTTATGTGTTGCCAGGAAGTACTTTGTCTTGTCCTCGTTCACCGCCAGACCAACCTCGTTAGCTTCTGTTTCTAAGCTACAAAATGCTGCGCTGAGATTCCTGGTTTACAGGGAAATTATGTCAATATCGATAGATGTATGTACATATTTACATACATATGTATCTATTTGCTATTACCACTAATCAGTTTAGACATACATATATATGTATACCAAAAAATACGATTATACAGAAAATCAATATGTATATTAGTATTTGTTTAGTCAAGAGTTTATTTTTGATTTTCGCAAGTGTATGAAAGAAACTCCTTAGTTCCTTAAATGTTTTAAACAGAGACTTACTCTTTTTCGATAGGAAGTTGATTTGCAAATATCTCTTACTCACTAACTAAAGAGCTGTAAACTTCACCGATTGACTGTAAATTTTTTAATGCTAACGTTTAAAGATAAAAGTTATTTCGTGAATTATTAAAGTAAACAAAAACATATTCCAATTACGAACTAAAGTAAAAATGAAAAATATTTCAAAGGTCTCGCTAATTAGAATACGAAAGAGCGCGGAGAGAAAAAAGTATAAATTGACATTCGATTCGCTCCGTCGTTTACTCGCCATCATCCCTCATTTGCACATCGAGCATTCCGCATATCATATATGATAAATCATCTGTCGGATCACCGTCGTCCCACATATTGACTGCACCCGCTTCGTCAAAGTTGTCATAATTAAAGGTCATAGCCATCTGGCTGCTGTTCTCATCGCCACCGCTACTCAAATCCATGAACTCGTTAATCTCTTGCGTACTGTTTGCTTCTTCGGTCTCTGGCATACGAAGCAAGATGACACTTTCGATATTTTTTGCTTTAATCTGCTTCAAGCCGTGCTGCGTTCTGAGATGCTTCAGCACATTACGCCTATGCAATTGCATGTAATTGCAAAGCGTGCACACGTGCATTTTAATTTTGTTGACGCGTAGGTCGTACGCATAGTCTTGGATAAGCCTGCCGCGTCTGGGACATGGCTGATTAATGTGATTCTTCATGAGCGTAACTGTTGTTTTCCGTATATTGCAGCCACTGCAACGAAAAGCATATTCGCCTGTGTGTATGGCATAGTGCCGATACCAATAGTTAATTTGAAAACAGCAAGTCTTATTGCAGAAAACACAATTCGCCGTATAATGATCTTGGGCGTGCGAGTAAGGATGGCTCTTCTCACACACTTGCCCACCTTGTTTGCGCAGCTGCGCCAAAGCCGTTTTCGGAATGCGTGAATTATACACCTCACAAGCGGGATGTTCGTTGACATAGTGGGAAACGACGCGTGGCTTGCGCTTATTACAAATGATACACCAATCACCGTTGGCCGCGTGCCAGTTGGGATTTATGTTCTTGGGCGCTTTGCTATCTGGTGCAGGCATATCATTTACATCACACACCGAATCGTTCGATGTGCTATCGCAAGTGATAAGCTCCGGCTCGGCTGCTTTTTTCTGTGGTTTCAAGTTGCTCAGGTCCTGCTTGCGCGGTCGGCCACGCTTTGGTCTAGGCTCATCATCCGATGAGCTATCCGAGATTTCCGCTGCTAACAGGCGTGTTGGTACAACCTTGTAAATGCGATGTGAACGTGGTTCACCGTCTACGAGACTATCTTCGTCATCATCATCGATGACAATTTGGTTGTTTGTCGAGTCCGTGGAATTGCTGCTTCGACTTTTGGATGAACTCTCTGGAAGAAAAATATCAATGTGATATTAATTGCTTATTTAAAAATCAACCTTATTGTATGCACTAACCATTAAATCTCTTTGCTGCGGCGGTAGATCCTTTCAGATTTTTGGCTTGCAACGAATTGGCAAACATTTCTAAATAGGCACTTTCAAAGGATTTCACTTGTTGTTGCCGCTGGCGTTTCGCCTCCAGCCGTTTCTCCTCTGCCTTGCGTTGGACCAACGCCATCATTTGATCTTCCTGTCGTCTTTTATTAGTTGAGGCCTCTTTCTCGACTGGCGGCGGTTCGTCGTCCTCAGCTTCCTCTGGCTCATAGAGAAACGTTTCGTCATAGCAACGGGAACGATGCTGACGTAATGATTTACGTCTCTCGCCCCGACTAGGCAAACTCTCTTCCACCTTTTTCTCATAGTATTTGGCTGGTGTGTATTCCTCATCGCCTTTATGCCGCTTTCGTTTGTCATCGCTCATAACCCCGCCGCCATTGACATATTTTGCCATTAGCTCATCGTATGAACTCGTGCGCGTTGTTATGCGACCCGTACGTGCATCGGTCATCAGCGTTACGTGGATGCCGATTTGTGTGCAGGCGCCTGCACAAAAACGCAAGCCCTCCATAGACAGACGGCAGTCATCTGTGTAAAAAGCGTTACGTAGTTCGCGCGTTAACTGTCCATCAGCTGTGCAATTTGACGTGTACGCCTTTGTATTGAGCGATGTGCGCAAGTCTTTGATCCGCGCGAAAACCTTATATTTGAGTGCACTCTGCATCAGCACCAGGCACGAATGAGACGCGATCTGTTGTGGGTTGGCGAAATTGTCTATGAATCCGTCCAACCATTCGCGGTAGACGCGCTCTTGCTGTTGCGTCACTAACACTTGCGTTGATTTGGGGACGCTTTTTGAAGAAGCCGAAGGCGAGACTTCGTGCGCAGCAGGTTCTTCCATCCTCTCCTTTTGATTATCTTTCTCCTTGTCCTTGGCTGTGGTGCGGCGGTTGGCATAGAAAGCATTCGGTATGATAATATTTTTGTTTGAAAGCATTGCAGAGAAGGCGAGTGGATTATCGCCGGACGTAGCAGAGGCTGGTAACAGGTTGACCGCATTCAAAAAGTTTGATTGTGGTGTAGGGGTGAAATTGGTAGGTGGGAATAACGACACACTTCTTGGTAACTTTACTGCTGAAGCACGCGGTGGGGACGACGTTTCGGAAAGGAATGCACGATAAGCCTCCGGTACTGCACCGCCGGACATGACTTTACTTATTTTGATCGGCTTTTGCGCTGGCGCCGCTGGTAGAAGCGTGCGTTTTTTACCCATACGCACTTGCTGAGTTGGCATTTTAACCAGAGTTCTTGTGAGAGTTGGTCGCAGGGTTGTGCGGCTTTTACGGCCTCTCGGTGGGTTATTACTGCAGTTAGCGCCATCTTCATCGGAGCTGTCGAGTAGTTCAATTGTTTCCGTTACCGATTTCGCGGTTTTAATAGTCATTTCCTGTTGATCTCTGCGATTAGGTACCCGAGTATGTTGCCGCTTACAAAGACTCTGCGTAGATTGTACCTCCCTCAGTAGGCTATTGTTGGCAGCTGATTTCGGTCCGAATTCTTTATCGTTTTCCTCGTCGGTGTCAAGACAAATAGGCGAATTACGCGACTCGATGATTTCCACATCATCATCATCATCAACGTTTGGATCTTCATTTGACACTGTCTCGGCAGCTACGTCGGTCGGCTGCTGAAGGATTTGGTGCTCAGTAGTGCGTATCGCCGCAGTTTCATTACTAGTTTCCTGGCTATTGTCCGCTTCGTTTGTTACATCTGCTTGACCAAGTGGATCGTCTGTTTGAAGCACATCTCCTACCCCGACGGCAGCATCACTCTGGCTGTCAATTTCAACGTCGAACTCGGCTGGTAAAGCGCAACTCTCCTCGTTACTGCCAGTAGGCGCCTCGCTGATCTCCTCAATTGTGGCTTCTTCCACTTGTGCTTCATCATCGTCTGTATCTTCGTTAACTTTTTCATTGACATCTTTAGTGTGTTCTGAATCCCTTTTATTGCTATCGCTGCCTTGTATTACTTCTATTTGTTCCTGTGCGGTTTCGTTTTTATCACTCACTGCAGTTTCATTCATATCTTGGTTGTTTTTTATTATTTCAGCTTTATCTATTACGTTTTCACTATGTACGCAGGCGTTGATATTTTCCTCATCCTCCTCTTCAACTTGTTCTTCCTCTGTCTCTTCTTCCTCTTCAACCTGGTTTTCCCCAATTTGTTCCTCCTCCGTCTCTTCTTCCTCTTCGGCCTCCTCCACTTCATCATCGCTCTTATGTGCCGAGAATTCCGCTTCATCAGCAGAATCAGGTAAAATCATCTCATCTTCCGCGGTGCTCTCGGGTATTTTAATCAATTCGACATCTTCGTATTCAATCTCTTCAATATCCTCTGGCGCTTCGAAGTGGTCGAGAGCTTCTGTTGTAGTAGTATCTGTGGACTTATCATTATTTTGCTGGTCGTCTTTATAGTTTTGCTCTTTTAGTTCCTGTTTGCGGGCAGTTTTATTTGAATTTGTAACTTCATTTTTCTTCTCACAAATCTGGGAGTTTTCATCTAATTTCTTTGAATCCGAGACATCATCAACCAAGTCTTGTTCGCCCGGTGTTTCATCACATGATTGTAAAACATTTTCTTCCTGATCTTTTATTGAACCTGTAATTTCTTTGCTTGTCTGGCCAATATCTGAGTTTTCCCTCTCCTTATCGGAGCTTTTATTTTCTTTTCCCAAGCTTTCACTCTCTTTATTTCGGCTTCCGTTCCCTTCATTACACGTTTCCTCACTTTTTTCACATTCGTTTGGAAGTGTAAGACCGTTTACAACACCTTCCGATTCCTTCCCCTCTACTTCATTGGAATTGAAGTTTTTATCAATATCGCCATTCTTAGGAAGATCAATATTGGCCTCAAGGGCCGTTTTACTTGCTGATACATTGGATGTCGTGTCCTTAATTAAAAAAAAAAGTAAAAATTAATAAAAATTAGTACAATAGAATAAAGAATAAGTTTTCCAAATGCATTTGTTTAAATCTTATTTATTTTAATTTTTCCATTAATTAATTTTTTTATTACTTTTTTAATTTTTCTTCTAAAAACAATCGTTTCATTTTTTAACTTATCAATTCGTCGCAATATTTTTTTTAGGTATGTTACCGCATAACTTTGGACCACATTAACCGATTTCAATAACTTTTAAAGGAAAGGTGGTACCTCAGAAGTGATCCCATACTAATTTGGTTTAGATTCGATCATTGAATAGCGAAGAATTTAACGGTACCTACTCTTAATTTTTTATATAAGAATTGAAGTAAGTTTTGTTTTTTGCTTAAAAACTACTGGTTTTTATAAAAAGAAGCGATTGTGAACAAGTAAAAGATGAACCGTTGCCTCTAGAAGCATGCAAAATTTAGGAAGGCGAGAGTCACACTCGATGCCAGAAGCAACAACACAATTAAGTAATACTCTAAGATCCGACAAAGGCACGACCTTCGCCCATCTGTTTAACTGATGAAATTTTTCTTGTTCTATGAAATTTAACGTGTTAATAAATATTTTGCGAGTGGTTTGGCTAAAAAAATCCTGGCCAGGATATTTTTAATTAAATATTCAAAAATTATTATTTTTTTAATTTTGTACTCATTTGTTTAATGAACATATTATGTACAAATCGAAAATATTAAGCCTATAGAATATGAAAACGTTGGGTTGTCTATTTTTTTCCTGGCCTACCTATCGGGTTGGCAGGTATGAACATGTAGGTAATATTAGTAATTTTCACTCACCTGTTTAACACATTCTATAGGCTTTACGCTTCCGATTGGTATATATGTAATTTGTTCATTAAACAAATGAGTGCAATATTAAAAAATAATAATAATTTTTGAATGTTTAATTAAAAATATCCTGGCCAGTATTTTTCAGCCAACCCACTCGCGAAATATTTCCTAACACGTTAAATTTCATCCATTACACAGATGGGTGATGGTCGTGCCTTTGACGGATCTTCTACTATAAATGTTGTTTTGGTTCAAATACCTACTACTGTTCCAAATTCCCTGATCTTAATATATTTTTAAATTTACTAGTTTCCCTCTAATAAACATTCTTACACGCATTAAAAGCACATATCTAAATTTAAACCCTTACCTCTGAAGCACTTACCTCATCACCACAAGCATTGGAAACCAACGTTGACGCCGACGTCAACAGCGGTGTATTCGCTACACCCTTTAGCATCACTTCATATCTGTCCAGTTCACCAAGTGTCAATCTGCAAAGTTCATTAAAAGTAAATAAAAGTACAGTGAGCTCTCAACTACACTAGGTAATTGGCATTTAAGCTTGTTTATACCTGTCACCCACAACCTCCTGCTGCAACAACAGCTCCCGTAGTAGTTTTAATTTTTCCAACTCTTCCGCATTTTCATTCTGAGAAGTTACGTTCGCAATGTACTGTTCCAAAGAGGGCAGCAATTTTTGCATTTTATTGACTTTTTGTTTATAGTCATTCATTTGTTGTGGTTGTTCTTGTAACACTGCCGGTTCCATCATGCTGCCTACGATTGAGCAGGTAATCAGTTCTATTTGACCTGTGTGTTTATTTGCGCTTTCTTTTAGTAGCTTTGTAGTAGTTTTTCTTCAAAAAACTCGTAGTTACTTAAAAATAAAAATGGGAAAAAATGTTCAATACTCTTACATATATATGCATATATTTTAATACTATTTGTTTAGAGCCAGTTGCTTTTAAATCTAGTACAAGAAAATAATACGTGAATATTGTGCCGNCCATTACACAGATGGGTGATGGTCGTGCCTTTGACGGATCTTCTACTATAAATGTTGTTTTGGTTCAAATACCTACTACTGTTCCAAATTCCCTGATCTTAATATATTTTTAAATTTACTAGTTTCCCTCTAATAAACATTCTTACACGCATTAAAAGCACATATCTAAATTTAAACCCTTACCTCTGAAGCACTTACCTCATCACCACAAGCATTGGAAACCAACGTTGACGCCGACGTCAACAGCGGTGTATTCGCTACACCCTTTAGCATCACTTCATATCTGTCCAGTTCACCAAGTGTCAATCTGCAAAATTCATTAAAAGTAAATAAAAGTACAGTGAGCTCTCAACTACACTAGGTAATTGGCATTTAAGCTTGTTTATACCTGTCACCCACAACCTCCTGCTGCAACAACAGCTCCCGTAGTAGTTTTAATTTTTCCAACTCTTCCGCATTTTCATTCTGAGAAGTTACGTTCGCAATGTACTGTTCCAAAGAGGGCAGCAATTTTTGCATTTCATTGACTTTTTGTTTATAGTCATTCATTTGTTGTGGTTGTTCTTGTAACACTGCCGGTTCCATCATGCTGCCTACGATTGAGCAGGTAATCAGTTCTATTTGACCTGTGTGTTTATTTGCGCTTTCTTTTAGTAGCTTTGTAGTACTTTTTCTTCAAAAAACTCGTAGTTACTTAAAAATAAAAATGGGAAAAAATGTTTAATACTCTTACATATATATGCATATATTTTAAAACTATTTGTTTAGAGCCAGTTGCTTTTAAATCTAGTACAAGAAAATAATACGTGAATATTGTGCCGAAAAAATGTCTGCCATTTTAATTTTTTCTCCACAAGTCAAAATGCTGTGTTGCTTTTGAACGTGTAAAACTGCCTTTACACGAGTCGATTTTTGTCATTGAACCAAAATCGACCCGTGTAAATGGCAATTCAACCATAAAATGTAAGTGTTTTGTTTGGTCGATTTTTCAGTCCACAGAAATCGACCCGTGTAAATGCAGCTTTAAGGGAATATTTTTCTAACAGGGAAAACATGAAATTTAAGTTTGGAAGGATTTCTTTTAAAAAATGTACAACTTTTTTTAAACTTTTATTATAGTAAAGTTTATTTAAACAAAAGTGAAGCGTTACAGTTTTTAGTAAATTCGGAATTAAAAAAAATATATATATGTATGAACATACATATATGTAAATACATTCATGCAACCAAAAGGAATTTTTTTTTTNATTCATTTAAACAAAAGTGAAGCGTTACAGTTTTTAGTAAATTCGGAATTAAAAAAATATATATATGTATGTACATACATATATGTAAATACATTCATGCAACCAAAAGGAATTTTTTTTTTAAATATAATATACGCAACACCTGTTTATTATAATAAGAAATTTATAGAAATAGTATGGTTTATGTGCATAAATAAGTACATACGTACATATGTAGGATGTCACATTCATGTACATACATATATGTGTACATATGTATCATTCATGTACATACATATATGTGTACATATGTATCATTCATTTTTGCTACAAAATTAATTAGAAATTATTAAAAAGTTGCAAAAAATAATGAATTTTCATCATTTTAAAAAAGTAATTCTTTCGGTATTTATGAAATGTAAAACTAAAATAACGAAATTAAAAAAAGTAAAGAAAAAATTTGTACCCAGCATTTTGGCTTGTCACAGAGAAAATATAAATTTTAAACACACGCAGAGTCGCAGCAAAACCAGCACACACATACATACGTACCTTTACAACAAAAGAGTGGCTGACATGGTCGGTAACTATCGCACTGCCACTGCTAGCCGCAGCCACGCATCCCCTATAAAAATACTGGCTCAAGTTGTGACACCCTCTTCGTAGTGGCGCCACTGTTAAATACACATATGTATATTTTTTCTCGCAATAATGCGGCAGCGTTTGTAAATTTTTTTGTTGCTTCCTTTTTAATTTGCTTCAACAACTCTGGTTCGATGGGGGAATGTTCAAGTGGAAGCGCGATTTTTTTAAGTATTTTGCACTTGCTAAATTCACAAAAAAACTTTAAAAACTTAAAGCATTACATTACCCTCTGCACGCACAACCAAAATTTTTACCACTAGGCTCACCTTTTTTCCACAATTTACCGCTGTCAGTGCTTCGGTGCGTTACATTGTAAAAAGTATGGCGCTAGTTGCAATTTGCAGTAGAAAAAAGTAGTAGGTCTAATAAGTAGTAACATATGTTAATGAATTTTTCTTCTTCGGACTGTTGAAAATTTCTCTAAAATACATTTTTGACATCACGAATAGGCTTAAAAGTAGATGATATTTTTACCTAAAAGCCATTTTCACATATTTTCCCTCGTTTTCAACAACGAGTCAAACAAAGGTGCATTTAAGTACGTTTTTGTAGTAGTAGAGTAGTAGCAGCATGAACGCTTTGCAGCCACACTGTTTAAACATAAAAATTAACTACAGGGTTGCTTTTACCAAATGTCAAATATCAGAAATTTCGATCAACATGAGAAATGTTTGGAAGCAGTGATGCAACCTTGTACAATGATAAAAAATAAGTATTTAAAAAAAAAAAAATAAAATAAGTAAAATTATAGATTTAATTTTCGAAAAAATTTACAATATACCTTATAGAAATTTTATTAAAAACAACTATAAAAGAAAGGAAAATCAAAATTTTTATAAAAAACTGAATCAAAACTATGAACTTTTCTCAGTCGTTTATGAAATGGAAGTTTCCCTTTTAGCTAAATTTTAACGAGAAGCTATCCCAAAAAATTATAAAAATTTAATTTTATTACTGTACTTACATACCTACTCGCAAATTAGTAAATGGTGTCATTACTAAAATATTAACAAACAAAAATACCTTTGTTTTAATTTTTGCGGCGCTAACATGCAAAATAACATAGAACCCCCTATCAATAAGAATTGTATAAAAAAAATTGTACAAAGGCTGTTGTTGCAAATAAATAGAAGTTTTTTGACAGCCTTGTGTATGAAAATAATCTGAGTGGTTCCGCCAGCGTAGACCCGACTGTGATGGGAGGGTCACAGGTCTTTCCTTACCTTTAATTAGTGATTTCGCAATAAATAACATCTTTCTCTCTTTTGCTTCTCTTCGAAGTCATCGACACCCCATGCTCTGTACAATGTCTGCTGCCCATCGATTTGGCGCTGGGTCTAGCAATCGGTCTCGAAGATGGGCGCTTGGCCTTTTACGATTTGGCAGAAATGCAAATATTTTACATAACAACGCCACAACCACAACAACTAATGGCCCCTGTGGTGAAGTTAACTTATCTAGAACCCCTGGATGATCCACGCCATTGCCTCTACGTTTTTGCGATGCATGAAAATGGAGAAAATTTAAGTGCTGTGCTGCATACGCTTATCTATGAAAAACGCTTACCGGAGAAGGATGGCTTTTACTATTTCGAGGTGTCTAGAGCTCTCAAGCCATACTTATATATGTATCTATGCCGTTCAATTAAAGTAGCCTAAGTCGGGATAGGCCCTTTTCCATTTAAAGCAAGATTTCATTGGGTTCCCAAACAATATTTTGACGTTTAACTAGCCAGAGGTGTAGTTGAAGATGCCCTTTTAATATAAACTTAAAAATTTTCAAGGGAAATTTATTATTTTTTAATTTAAGTCAAACCATCTAAAGCCACTTAAGCTACTTTAAATGAACGGCACAGATACGTAGTACATATGTATGTACATACATATATCGTTCTTCTAAAAAAATTTACAATTTCTATCGCAGTCTTTTCTAACGAGTACAGCACGTCTACAAATTCCCTTGGAAGGCACTAAGGGTATCGCCATTGGCTGTCAGTCAATTAGCAAAATACATAATAGTAGTTTCAATAACAGCGCAAATGGTGACACCAATGCCACACACACAGACGAAGATGGCTATTGTTTGTGTGCGCTCAGTTGGTATTCCACATTTGAAGAGAATAATAAGCTACTCATATTCGATTTGAATCAATGGTACAAAGAGGAAATGCCCTATAGCATTACGCAGCAGAAGTGTCCCAGTTATCTGGCCGGTTATGTGTTGAGTGGGCGACAATGCGCTCAAAGCGCTTACCTCAACCCCAGCACTGTCGCGCACTTTAACTCGTTGCAACGCTTTGAAGAACACTTCTATCCGAATTCGCTCAGTTTTGGTGGGTTTAACGAATAATATTTTATATACATATATCCCTTCATTTCAGACATGAATGTGGCTTTATCATTGCAGATTTTGTGCTCCTATTGCAAGATAGCACGCTTGGTTATACGTGGATTGGTGCACAAAACAAAATCATAAACATATTGCGCGCTAGTAATTCGAGCATTTTTCTTGAACCTGATATGTATTTCAGAGAAATATTGCGTGCGCGATTGCTGCCGCAGTTTACTGAATTAGGACTGGATTCCACATTTTCTCGGGTAAATAAATGAAAGTTTAAAATTTGTTTTTTTTTTTTTAATATACAAAAAAATACCCTCAGCTTGCCATCTATGAAACCATCTTATCAGTCGCATTGGAGCACAACTGTTATAGTATCCTGCGAGATTGCGCCAAATGTTGGGCAGATGGCAGTTTTATGGGCTCCAATTTCACTGCCACCACGGGCATTTCACTCTCTACGCTTACCGATTGGATATGGAAGCGTGCCACGGATATCAAAACGCGCTGTAATGACCTTTCAAAAGGCCTTTTCGATTACGCCGGCTATCCTTTGGATCATCGTGAGCAAAAAGAGTTGGGATACTTGACGCGCCAGCTGAAATTGCTAGCCGATTTGTTGGGTGAGGTGCTGTCCACAGGCAAGCGGTATATACCCGACAAAGGTAAGAAGGGATAACATCAGGAAACTAACTCATTCGAATATTCACCCGAAAAATTACGTCTTCTAGTTTTCCTCAACCTTGAGGCACAACACAAATCTATGCGCATGGCTTCAGAGTACCAAGATGTGTTGCTGTGGCTACTAAACATCGGTTTACTACCAGAAATTCTGCATAATCGCAACAACGGTAGCCCATGCAAGCCACATGCCCGGGGCAAAGGTGTTGTCAATACGAACTCATCCAACACCAGTGCTATTCAATATCCTTATGATGATTTGAAGAATTTATATGCGCGCAGACGCACCTTTTTCGCGCGTATCAATGAAAATTTTATCTCAAAAAAGACTGGCAGCTGTCGCTTGCTTTTCATCGATGCGCTCATTGCGCACGAATGTAAGGGCGATAGTTTGCGTGAATGTTGGCTGGAAAATGGCGGCAATGGCCTCTATCCACCGCCTACCATTGAGGCCATGCTGCGCATTTTGCTTGTACCAGAAGTAGAATTCGAGAATAAATGCGCTATTTTGTTGTATTTCTTTTTGGACTTGCACATGACAATCGATGAGCGTGCTCACAAGGCGGTTGTGGAGAGCTTTGTGAAGTTTCCGAGTGTTTTTAAGCTAACTGCTGCCTTGATCAAGACTGTGCAATCGTTTTGGAATCTAGACCATGGACTCTTTATGGTAAGTGCCTTGTGAAAATAAAAAAAAATTGAAGCGCTTGTTACGTGGGGCCAATTCTCGTTTTTTTTTTCAAAATTCTCGAAGCCCTTTTGCACAGCTAATGTTATTTATTTTTTTTTTTTCTAGCCCGCTGTTGACGAATTCATATCGCCCTTCAACAATAATCAAACCTACAACCAATGGATGCTGGAACTGCTCATTGAGTCGTTGCTTACCCAAAACGCGTCCGATTTTGCGTTGCGCATACTTGAAGCGCGGCCTAATCTCATCTCGCCCTTACTTAAACTCAAAACTTTGCTGGCCAGCGATCTAGTCTCAGAAGCTTTCCATTTTGCGCGCACCAAACAAGATGACTCCCTGCTGGAACTTTTCTTCAAATGTTGCCTCTGCGCTGGCAAATATGGCGTCATACGCGACTTAGCACTCAATGAACGGGAAGGTCACCTGTTGCAGAGCATATTACGAAGTAGCAAAACCCACGGCGCCGAGAACTTGCATTTCGTGTATCTGCTTCAAAGGTCCAAATACATCGAGGCTGTTTCATATTTGGATGAGTTGTCGCGTGCGAAGAATTTGCGCACAAATTACGGTAATGAGAGTGGCGTCATCGGTACCAGCGATACGCCGACGCTAGTGCTGTCGGCCTTCAATACCACAATGGCGCCAGTGACCCAAGGTTTGACAGATGTTTACTTCCGCATTAAAAATAAAATCAAGCATAGGGAGGCGGATAACCGTTCGCCTGTGCCACTAAGTTGCCAGCTCATTAAGCAGAATGCGAATAACTTGCTTGGTGGCATTTATCATAGCTCTGCGCTAAGTGCACACTTTGCCACCTACTATTGGGGCGAAATGGAGGATGAGCGAAAGCGTAGCGCTAAGCCCGCCTCCATGCTGCTCAGCGCTAATAATGCGCCATTTTTGCGTAAGCCGCAAGTAGAAACGTGCCACCTACAAATGGAGCATTATGCTCAAAGCGGTGTCTCATATCCGCAGCCGTACAAATTGACTGAAAAACGCACGCTGGCGGAGCGTGAAATGGAGCTGGATGAGGCGCCAACTGATATGCCCACAACATTGAATACGGCGGTGACTCAATCGCGTAAACGTCGTCGTTTATTGGGGCAGGAAGTTGTCGAAGACCTTGGTCACTTCATGCAGATGAACAAGTCGGCGGGCCATTTGACGGCAAGAGGTTTTGATTTGCAAGCTGCCTGCGAATCGCAAGCAGAGAAGGGCGAGTTGACGACACCATGTAAAACGGCTGTTGCGACAGAGTTTCTAAGGCAACCATTAACAACGCCTCGTCGACGCTTGTCTACACTTAGTGACAGCCGTGTCGGTGTGAGCATGCCGCCGTCTGCTACTTCGGAGCTGCATAGCATACTCAAGACATGCAACACACCGGAAAGGAGTGATCGGGCACTCAGTGCCATAGACGAAAGCAAGTATTTGCGCTTCAAACTGCCGGCTACGGAAATAGAAGAGGAAAAAGAAACTGCCCTTGCGAGTAAAATAACACAAGAAAAGTTGAACCGCATCGAACATTTCGTTGGCAAAAACGATGATGGAGTGAAAGCCAAGCGGCGAATAGTGACTACAACGGTCGTTATTGATGAAGTTGACGACAGTGTGGCGACGGCTGACGTGATTGAGGTAGGAACGGAAGCGCCGAATGAAGTGACACAGGAGGACATTGAAATGTTAGAAGACGACGCTGTGGACGAAGTGCTCATTGAAGTGAGGCATGTAAAACCCATGTCCTGCGTCGAGTCTTCTAGAACCAAACAAAATGCGGTTGAGTGCGCTGTCTCAGTAGAGTCGAATGCTTCTAAGAGCAATGATGTTTCCCTGGAGGAGGAACGGGAGGAGGAGGAGGGGGAAGATGAAGACTTCTATTCACCGCATTCTTCGTACAACAACTCCCTACTCGTGGTAAATGCTTGCTCACCTCTAGCGTCGACAACAGCTGCAATCATATCTTCGGCCAACGAATCAAGCACATCAAAAGTATTCCACTTTAGTGGACCACAGTCTCGTAAGCCACTAGCTCGTCTCTCAGCCGAACGCAGCCAAAGTTGTACACCAGAAAGACAGTTGCCGGAACAAAAGCAAGGAAACCAACCACCACCACAGAGCGATATTCAAAATCAGCTGAGCAGTGGTTATGTTAGCGTTACTTCTAGAATTTCAACTGCTGTGACTTCTTCCAATGCAGCTGAACCCTGCCAACCCACCTTCCAAATCAAGTCCGTAATGTCTTTGGCTAGCAAAGATTTTGCGCCATTTAGCTCATCGTCAAAAATATGTGCCACTCAGTCTAAATTCAATTTTGAAGATCAAAAAGTGCACGTTCCACGCGGCAAGCTCTCTGAATGCAGCACCATAGTGGGAAGCTTCAGTGTGGAAATGGAAAGCGGCTTGTCAGAAGCAGACGAAGTCGACAAAGCGGCAAAGCAACCAACGGCTTATACACAATTGAAGTCGGCGGCTGGTGAGTTTGGGCGTCCAACGATAGCAGCGCAACATTTGCGCGCCAATACAACGCTAGAGATGAGCTCATATGAGTACACGCTAGCCGAGGTAAAATCTCAAGGTACTATGAAGCAGACTGTTGGCCCAGAAGCGGATGGCGCTAAGCAGAACGCAGCTGTGCTGCAAGTTATGGAAACAGTTGAAGTGATGGATATGGATGAGGAATTGGAAATGGAAACAGAAACAGAAAACGAAAATGATATATTTAAAGAGCAGCAATCACAAAACGCTGAAATTGCAAGCAATGCTGTGGGAGCTGACTCTGACTTGTACGCCGATGCACTTGGCATAGCCGTGCAACACGGATCCGATGGGGACGTTAACAGTAGTGAAGACTCCAATGATATAGTAGCTTTGTATGAGAACCAACGAGCCGCGAAAAATCAGGCTGCTGCCGACAGCAGTGACGGCGATGTGATTATTTTATCGTCGTCTGCATCGTCGATCCAAAGAGATGATGGAAATGAGACATTGGATTCCGAATCTGAAAACGATAGCGAGAAATATGAAGACGGACAGGACGAAGAGGAAGAAGAGGAAGAAGTTGATGATGATGAAGAAAGCGAGAATGAAGATGAAGATGACGCGGATGAATATAGAAATGACTCGGTTGAGAATTCTATCGATGATGTATCGTCCATCGAACTTGACGACGAGAGCAACAACAGCGCCAGCGAGAAATCCCGAGATATTACAAGTGAACCAATCGCCAGGCCTACTGTAGTACGTGAAGATAATAGTGCGGATGTAGGCAAGGAGCCGAAAACCGCAAATCAAGCACAAGATACCCAGGAGGCAAGCCCAGATACATCTCTACATGGTAGTAATTCTTCCACTTCAGTGGAAAGCGATGTCCGATTCGTAGTTGAAGGGGCCGTTTCGAGCTGTGCTGATTATGAAGAGCTGGCGATGCGCGAAACTGTTGTTTTTGAGGAGTCCGGTGATGAACAACATCCCGAGGAAGGAAGCCAAGTTGGGTGCAACTACTTCAGCAAGAGTGTCTTTATGCAAAAAGACGCTGAAATCACAATTGAAGAGCTAAACGTTAGCGCATACACAAAAACCACGAAAGAGGTCTACGAGGAGCTGGACAGTGATGTGTTTTATTATGGCGCGGAGACGACAAGCGAAAGTCTTGAATTTCGGGAGGAGCGTAAAATTGAGTTAAATTTTGAAATGGAAACTGCCAGCACTTCTAAGAAGGCCGTTATACAAAGTGCGAATTTTACTACAAAACCACCAGAGAACTTAGTACAAGACACATTGAACAACGAAGAAAAACCAACCTGCTCTGTGTATGCTAAGAACAAATTCGGAGGTGTCCAAGAGTCCAATGAAAGTATTCAGAGAAATGTGTCAAAGATAGACGATGCACGACATTTTTCTGCGGTGGGAATATGTATCACAAATAAGGATAGACATGAAGAAGCTGAAATAGAATTGGCAAATGATGTCCCGAGCTCGAAGGATATAGAAGGAACTGAAAAAGACGAGGCAAAAGGGCAAGCACGAATCCATTTGCGGATGAATGAAACCGAAGATACAGAAAAAGTTGCAGCAGGAGTGCCAAAAATAAAAGGGCAGAAAAGTGTGGAATGCGAAGAACGGGAAGGTTCAGAAAACACTGAAAACGAGCCGATTGAGGAGGAGCAAATCACTCTCCACGTGGAGGAATGCGATCTCAGTGAGGCCGAACTAATAGAAGTTGAAGCGGAGGCAGCAAATACAACTGCAGTGAAAAATTCGTCGGTTAAAGTTGCAACAAAAGCTGTTGAATTTGAAAATATTGGCCAAGCGATTGTTGAACCAGCGAAGCCGGACACTGAACAAGAGTCTACGCAATCGTCGCAAAGCCCGATACCCATAAAGGAAGCATTGGAGAGCAATAGCTCAGTTACTGAAAAACAAGCCGCCTCGAAAAAGGCCAACGAAAAGAATGCTTCTAAAAGCTCACACACTTCCTCAAACATATTGCCAAAGGAGACAGAAGAATGGCAAGCAAATACTCCTACGCGTACACGTTGCAGTCGCCGTGGGACCTCTGTGCCACCGCCAGCAGACGCGGTTATCAGCACACCAGTTGACGAAATTATTACACCACGTCGCAATACTCGCGGTATCTCGATGCCTCCCCAGACCACAGTCCAGCAAGAGCAAGAGATTTCTGTAGGCACGCCAGAAACGCGCGGTATCAGTCGTCGCAACGTACGCGCAAGCTCAGCACAAGAAGAAATCGCTGCTCTAACCACCACGCCGCGTACGCGACGAAGTGTGCGCGGTGTATCCATGCCGCATGATGAAGATGAAAGTGGCGGTACGCCCGTGCGCGCAATACGAGGCACATCGGTGCCACCACCTGCCCAAATTGTCACCCGTCGCCGCTCAAATTTGCTCGATGCCATCAACGAAAGCACCCCAGTAGTGGACTCACCTTCAACGCGCACACGTTCGCGCATGCGTCTCAATTCTGCCGAGAGCGAATTAGATTCGTCGGTTGTAAGCGGTAGCGAACAGACGTCTCAAGCCAAGCGCACGCGCCGCTCTTCAATATCGAGCAGTATTTCGGAGCAACCGTCTACGCCGAGTGGCCGGCGTACGCGCCGTAGCACTGCTGCGACCGATGCTGCAAATAGCGAAGTGGGTACACCTAAAGCGCTGCGACAAACAACGCGTAGAAAGAGTGCCAACACCGAAAACCTGTATGCTGCGCAGCCACTAGAAGAGGACGAACGTGAAACTGAAAAATCAATTAAAACAAGTGAAAATGACGCACAAACCGCCTTATACTCATCGGCGCGTCGTTTGACACGTACTCAACTGGCTATAATGGAGAAATCGGCTGCACTTAGCAGAAATGCACCGGCAGTGGGACCGCGCAGTGGTGCATCCATATCACCACCCATACCGAAGCGCGTCAGCAAGCGCCGTAGCTCGCGGTCCACTGTGCAGGACAGCGATGATGTCGAATCGATTTCATCACACCTAAGTAATGTTTCAGGCACACCGAAGCGTCGTGTAACGCGAAGTTCGATGAAGGATAAGGTGAGTGTGGGGAGAGTCTGTTCATTTTATTATCAGTATTTCCAAACATACATAATTCTTTATTACCTCGTTTATCAGGAGGAAAAGGATGATGATTTGGCGAGTATTGCCAGCTCATTGGGCAGTGAACGTATACGTGCGCGGCGCTCCAAAGAGGCAAAAAGCTCGCCGAGTACTACTTTAAGTACCATACAAGAAGATGAAGCGGAAGGCAAGTAGAGTTCGTCAATAAAATTTTAAATAGTCTGATATTTTATCGAAATTCACAGAAGCGGGACGAAGGAAGCGTTCTAAGCCAATCAAAAATCGTTAGTTTAAGCCCAACAGAGAGCCCAGTCCGTAAGGCCAACACTAAATTAATAAAATATACATAGTTTTTGTTGTTGCAGTGTGAAGTTGGTGGAAAATGCCAATAAACAAGAAACCTTATCGTACCACCGAAGAATAAGCATTTTTATTTTATTTTTTTATGAAAAAAATTTAACAGATTATAATAAAGATATGTACCTACACACCATGATTCAATGTATTGAGCTTGATTACAGAAACTGTCGAGANCACCGAAGAATAAGCATTTTTATTTTATTTTTTTATGAAAAAAATTTAACAGATTATAATAAAGATATGTATCTACACACCATGATTCAATGTATTGAGCTTGATTACAGAAACTGTCGAGAATCATACGAAAAGGAGAATATCGAATATCTGAATATCGAGAAAATTAATCGTAATCTAAACTTGAATTGGTTTCTAATTTCTATTGTTTTTCTAATCAATCTCTAATCCAATTCTAACATAATTCTGATTTTCGATTCGATAACTACATTAGAATTCTAATGTAAATGTAGAATACCTACAATTCCCAAACTAAAAAAATTTCTATTAGGATCGATAGGGCCTCCTGATCATAACAGAAATTTTTTTTTTTTTTGGGAAATAATAATTGCTTGTGTTATTGAAGTTCAAAGTAGAGAAATGTAGGTATTCTGCACTTGTTCCGGGAATCAATAAAACCCTATAGTGGATAAAAAGCATGATTATATGGGGTCGGCGTCCATCAGTCGGTCGAAGAGTGGGTAGCAAGATGTTGTAAACGCAGTGCAGATCGAGCATAGAAGCCCGAGTGCAATGGACAGAAGAGGCGCATAAATCAGGCGAGAAGGGGCCCATGTTCTGATCACCACCAGAGATAAGCCGGAAGCATGAACGAAAGACACAAGATCACGCGGGAAGGAAAGAACGAAAAAAGAAAATAACACTATAAAATGATGTTCTTTTTTTTTTTGACTATGTGAACCGCCTTTCGCAGATTCCTTTCCTGGCCAGGATCTTTTTAGTCCTTACGCTGCCAGGTTTATAATTCTTATATATGTATTTTCTTCTCTGCAACTATTTACGGCTTGTATAAAAACGCCTTGATCAAAACTTATGTAGAAACTCTTTGCTCTTGATCAAGCGAACAAAGGTGGCGCCAAGGTGTATTTAATAAGGTGGTGTTAGCCGTATATAAGTAAAAAATNTGTAGAAACTCTTTGCTCTTGATCAAGGCGCATCAAAGGTGGCGCCAAGGTGTATTTAATAAGGTGGTGTTAGCCGTATATAAGTAAAAAATGANTATTTTCTTCTCTGCAACTATTTACGGCTTGTATAAAAACGCCTTGATCAAAACTTATGTAGAAACTCTTTGCTCTTGATCAAGCGAACAAAGGTGGCGCCAAGGTGTATTTAATAAGGTGGTGTTAGCCGTATATAAGTAAAAAATTACACTAACAAATTATACGCAGATGTCCATACTGTCATTGGTATGAGTTACAACAAACACATCATTTTGACGTAATGCCCTCCACGGCGAAAAACTCAGCTGACGCCCCAACACCACCTTGTTAAATACACCATGGGTGGCGCCGTCAGTGGTACCGCTACTTTGGTTTTGCCGATTTTGACAGTTGTGGTAACTTGTAAATAAACCTTCGTTTACAAATCAGAAAAAGAGAAATTTGAATTATAAGTGAAAAATTATTTTAAATTGTATTAATTTGCAATTTGTGAGCGATTTTTGAGTTGAAGACTGCATAAAAACTAATACAATGAAGTGCTGTGTGTTTAAGTGCGACAGCCGCCAAGATGCAAGAAGCGCTGGGACGAATCGCTGCATTTTGTGTACATAGGGCACGGCAAAGCCGCTCCCAAAATGTTTCTCTATTACAATAGTTGCGTTCCAGATACTTCACGATATTCACGATTTGCAGGAACAGCTGTTTTCCCCATTAATAAACCTTATGGGAGGTGGTCACCTG